TTTATTATTATTATTAATACTACTATTTCTACTACTTTTACAATAATAATAAAAACAACAGCAACAATAATAATAATAATTAGTTAATAATAATAATAATAATTTTACTACTATTGTTATTGTAGTTTCATGCTGAAATATTCATAACTTTTTATGATCTTTTTCTTACCGTATATAAATAGCCCACTATAAATTAGCACTAGAAAATGACCAACCCATATATAGAGTCTTTGTCTTGTTTCACTTGTATTTCCGGCGGAAGTGGTATGACGTCACTGTCGTAATGTCTATGGTGTTGTTGTTGCGAAAATTGTTGTTGTTGTTGTTGAATGTTGTAGTTGTTGTTGTTTGATGTATTTGAATGCTCCGGAAACATTTGCTGATGCTGTTGGCTGATATCATAACAATTGTTGTTGCTGTTGTTGTTGTAAGAAATATTGTTGTTGTTGTTGTTGGAATCGTTCGCCATATATGGGAGTGATGACGACAACGACGACGACGCTGATGACGTTGTAGATAAGGAGGACGCCGATGATGATGATGATGATGACAAGTTGTTGTTGTTGTTGCTGCTGTTGTTGTTTGGTGTTGATGTGTTCGCGGAATACTGTTGAAATTGTACGTTGTTTTGTATGCCCTAGTCATGTTCATCATTATAAACAACAACATCATAGTCACAGAAATCAATTTTAAGTCAAACATACACACATAACACACATGCACACCCACACATACACATACAGACACATACATACACACATACATTCACTCATACATACATACATACAATACCTGACATTGTATCACAATACATACATTAAATACCCACATACAAAATCCTTACCCGCCCCCTGCGTATTACCGAAATGTCAACAATTATGTGTATGTATGTGTGTGTGTGTGTGTGTGTGTGTGTGTGTGTGTGTGTGTGTGTATGTATGTATGTATCTATGTACGTATGAATGTATGTATGCTTGTTTGTATGTTTGTATGTTTGTATGTTTGTATGTATGTATGTATGTATGTATGTATGTATGTATGTATGTATGTATGTATGTATGTAGGTATTTGTATGGATAATACACTGTAATTTAAGTTTTTGTATTGAAACTTAATTAAAGTTTCTTGCATTGTTTTGTGGCGATGTGGTGATGTTTGTCGTCGTCATTGTTGATGTTTTTGATGTTGTTGTTGTTATTATGATGTTGATGTTGTTGATGTTTTTGTTGTTGTTGATGTTTTTGTTGTTATTGTTGTTGAAGTGATTGT